AATGGCAAAAGGCATTCATGAGGAACACCTAAACTGGGATATGCTGCAGCAGTTTGCTTTTGCCTGAGAATACAGGGAAGGGCAAGATTTCAACCCCTCCTCTCCTCGTTGCTGAATTAACTGAGTGCAAACTTTGAATTCAAGTTTGCAATAAATTGAAGCAAGCTGTTGATGAAGGAAGAAAAATGAAGGGAACAAAATCAACTTTGTACATGGCATTCATTGACCTTGCAAAGGCATGCGACACAGTGAATTGCAGCATTCTCTGGACCATCCTCCAAAAAATCGGATGCCCTGACAAATTTGTAAGCATCCTGCAGCTCCTCCATGATGACATGATGGCAACAGTCTTGGACATCAACGGCTCCCAAAGTGAATCATTTAAGGTGGAATCAGGTGTCAAACAGGAATGTGTTATTGCCCCAACCTTATTTTCCATCTTCATCGCTATTATACTTCATCTTGTTGATGGGAAGCTTTCCACTGGAGTGGAAATCATCTGTCAGACAGATAGGAAGCTATTTAACAGACTGAAAGCCAAAACCAAGGTCACAACAACATGTTATAGAACTCCAACATGCCGATGATAGCATAGTCTGTGCACACTCAGAAGACCTACAAGCCACTCTAAACACCTTTACAGAAGCATATGAGAAGCTCAGCCTCTCATTGATCGAGAAAACCAAAGTGCTCTTCCAGCAGTCACTAGACAACCCTCTGCAATGCCAGAAATACAGTTTAATGGTGTAACATTAGAAAATGCTGACCATTTCCACTACCTTGGTAGCCACCTCTCTACAAAAGTAAACATTGACACTGAAATACAACACCTGAACTCTGCAAGTGCATCATTTTTCCAAATGAAGTAGAGTGTGTTTGAGGATTGGGACATCCGTAGGGATACTAAGGTACTTATTTATAAGGGTATTAGCCATCCCCTGCCACGCGTTGCTGTGGCCCAGTCTGTGTATATGTGTTTTGTGTGTGTATATATGTGTATATTTGTATATATGTGTATATATGTGGTTTTGCACGTGCATAGTAATGTATTCTTTTTTTGCTTTTTAAGTCCCTTCCGCTGTGTTTTTCAGTGTTTTTATGAGTGATGGTCACTCGTTGGCCTGATAGGTGTCTTGTGTCCAAATTTGGTGTCAATTTGCCCAGTGGTTTTTGAGTTATGTTAATCCCACAAACAAACATTAAATTTTTATTTTTATAGATTGTCCTTCCAACACTGCTATATGCCTGTGAGACATGGACTGTATACAGACATCACAATCAACTCCTGGAACGATTCCATTAGCATTGCCTCCAAAAAATCTTGCAAATTTCTTGGGAAGATAGACGGACAAATATCAGTGTGTTGGAAGAAGCAAAGCCCACCAGCATTGAAGTGATGCTCCTACGCCATCAACCCCTGGCCCTTGAGCACTCTAACTTGAGTTCGGCTGTGACCAGCAGTGCTGCAGAATTCGAAGAGGCACGAATGGAGGGTGGAAAGGAAAAACATGCCAAGAGGAAGGTGCGTCAAGCCAACCCTGACCGGGACTGCCTTCCACTTGGAAACCGATGCCCTCACTGTGGAAGAACATGCGGATCAAGAATAGGGGTCCGCAGTCACCTACGTACTCACTGCCAAGACAGTACACTTGGAAGGCTATTGAACTTGAACAATGAAGGATTGCCTATGTAAGTAAAGTAAGTAATTCCCCAAGTAAATTTGGCACATGAGGCAGTTGCCACACTCTCCTGATTGGTAAGTCCAGCTCTGACTTGACAGCTTTGGATGAGAGATACTGCTTTAGAGAGTATTAGGGGAAAGGCTGTAAGACAGATTTTAAGACATCCTGGCAGCCTTGGAATCCAGCCATTGCAAAGAGATTCTGATTAGGATTCAGTGCCCCCTAGTGGTAATGGAAGGAAATCCAATGGAAGGAATAGGGATGCACTAGGTTCTTGTGGGTTTTTTCGTGATGCTCTGTTTCACCATTGCCTTACCACCAGTTACTTTCAGTGGGACAATGAATTCTACGAACAGAAAGATGGAGTAGCTATGGGGAGCCCTCTCAGCCCGGTCATAGCTAACTTCTACATGGAACACTTTGAAGAACAAGCCCTGGAAACAGCAACCAAAAAGCCCACGATATGGTTCAGATATGTGGATGACACCTTCACCATTTGGAGCCATGGAGAAGAAGAACTCAACAGGTTCCTGGACCATCTTAACAGCATCCACCCAAACATCCAGTTCACCATGGAAAAAGAAAATGAAGGAAGACTGCCTTTTCTAGATGTCCTAGTCATCCGCAAACCAGATCAACAATTGGGTCACACCGTCTACAGAAAACCCACACACACAGATAGATATCTACATAAAAACTCCAACCATCACCCAAGTCAAAAAGAAGCACCATTAAAGCCTTGGCAGACCGTGCAAAAAGAATCTGCGAAGCCCCACCTCCTCCAAGATGAACTGAACCACCTCAACTGGGCTCTCCAGGCCAATGGATACTCCACCTCAGACATCAGAAGAGCTGCAAGACCAAGAACAAGCCACGAGAGTAAAGATGAAGATCCACCCAGAGGAAAAGTGTTCCTGCCATACATCAAGGGAACCACTGATCGCATAGGGAAGCTGATGAGGAAACACAACATACAAACAATCTACAAACCCACCAAGAAAATCCAACAAATGCTATGTTCAGCAAAGGACAAGAGGGATCCTCTCACCTCTGCAGGAGTCTACCGTATACCATGCAGCTGTGGACAAGTCTACATAGGGACCACCAAACGCAGCGCCCAGACACGCATCAAGGAACATGAAAGGCACTGCAGACTACTTCAACCAGAGAAGTCAGCCATAGCAGAGCACCTGATGAACCAGCCTGGACACAGCATATTATTTGAGAACACAGAAATGCTGGACCACACCAAAACCACCATGTCAGACTACACAGAGAAGCCATTGAAATCCACAAGCATGTGGACAATTTCAACAGAAAGGAAGAGACCATGAAAATGAACAAAATCTGGCTACCAGTATTAAAAAACTCTAAAATTATAACAGCTAAACACCAGAGAGGAAAAAACCAGGCACAGATTAACACCTCCCAGCAACAGATTTTCCCAGACTCAGGCAGGCCTTCAAATGCTAATGAAGGTGATCAGCTAAACATTCACACCTAACTGCAGCAGGGAAGAGCTCCTTGCCCCACCCCAGCCATTCCACAGATATATAAACCCATTGTCCTAATTCCAACAGACCTCACTACCTCTGAGGATGCTTGCCATAGATGCAGGCGAAACGTCAGGAGAAATGCCTCTAGAACATGGCTCTATAGCCCGAAAAAAACCCACAAGAACCTAGTGATTCCAGCCATGAAAGCCTTCGACAATACAATAGGGATGCAGTTTCTAAACAGATTTCACAGGATTTCGCTCTAATGTTTTATGTGCTTTTCCTTCTTCCATCTCTGTCTCCTAGGGAAAGTCAATTTCCATTGTTATTTATTTTCCTTGCAAGATGCATGTGTATATATATAGTCATTATGAATTTTTGCTCCACTTCCAGCCGAATGGGCTCAAATTACAAGGACTGGAAAAATATAATAAATTTCACTGTGAAAAGAAGGTTTCTACAAAACCTTCAAATTTTAAAGAAATCAAATTTAGAAAACAGGTCCAAGGCAGGTGAAAATTCAGGCTTAACGGGATGCAAAATGCCTCACAGCAGCAAGAGCCCCAAATTTGCATCATATTTGCATATGTTTGTCATATATGTTTAAACTGAAATCTAATCTCACTTACTGTAAAGGTGATCAGATGATGTGTGTGCTTTCCTGCTCAGCTCTAAGGTCCATCGTGTACAAAAGAGGTGACAATAATTAATATGCCAAAGATATGAATTGGACTGCAGTTCCCAGAATTCCTCATCACGTGCTATGGTGGAAGTTGCGGTTCAACATCTGGAGGGTCACGGGCTTGATCACAGCCTTCCTCTCTTTCTTTGATTGCTGGCATTTTCTGGTATTTATTTTATTTATTTATTTACGACATTTATATGCCACCCTTCTCACCCCGAAGGGGACTCAGAGCAGCTTACAAGATATATATACATACAATGTATTAAATTATTAGCATAGTACAATATCAGTATTATATATTACTATATTGTACTACACCATTATATTGTAATATTATTAGTAATATTACATGTAATATAAAATATAATTACAATATTGTATTATTATTATTATTATAAATATATGTATATACAATATATCATATCATGATATAATATATTGTATATACATATAATATAATATAATAATAATAATATATGATAGATTATATTATATTATTAGTAAAGCACAGGAGACAAGATGGAACTGTCTTCTGCCCCCCTCTCTCTTCACTCTGGCCAGAACAGCAGTTGGTGCCGGGGGGGGGGGGGGCCTCCCAACTGATGATATGGTATTTCCTTTTTATGGTGCCATAAAATACCCCCCATGCTTAAGTGGTACCTAATTTCTCTACTCACACCTCACAGCTGTTTTCAAACTGCTTAGGTGGACAGTGAGCTGGGCTGAAGGTCGGGTGCTCACTCCGACCTGGGCTTCGAACTGCCAATCTTTCAATTGATATGATCTATTGCTGCTGGTGATTAACCAGCTATGCTAAAGCCCGGTGCTCAAACCACAATTCCGCAGCCGCCACTGCCTACACTGGCTGAGAAGTCCAAACATTTCCTGTATTGTTGAAGGTTTGCATGTCCGGAATCACCACTCTGGACCTTCCACAGATATATAAACCCAATTTTCCTACTTTCCAACAGACCACACAACCTCTGAGGATGCTTGCCACAGATGCAGGTGAAACGTCAGGAGAGAATGCTTCTAGAACATGGCCATACAGCTCGAAAAACCTACAACAGCCCACGTAACATTTCCACGGCAGAATAAAATTACAATGACTCATAATATAAATTTAAAATAGCACAAATTCTCTTTTATTTTCATATTTTACAATTTATACAGAAGAGATCAATTTCAAAACAATCATGTTTTGTTCCAAACCCTTATCCCCACCCCTATAGAGATTTTAAAAACAACCCATGGATTATTAAATAAACTTCTTGACTCTATGTACATTCCAGTAAGTTTTGGGCCCATTTCTAACCCTGAATGGAAATTTTTCTCTTGGGGAAGGGGGACTACAACTCTCCGAATCCTGAAGTCTATAGACTGCTGGCTGAGGATTTGGGGCGCTATGGTGCAAAAAGTAGTCCAGAAATTCCTACTGCTTGGGACCGTGGGAGTTGTAGTCCTGAAAAGTCCCGATCATGTTACCTTTACCTCTGCCAACCCAATTCTGTTCATAATGGTTCTTATCTCTGCTCCTCCAACCAGGATCTAAGCATCTTGCCACACAATTTGAGATAACTAGCTGGAAGCTCCTTTCTTTGGTTCTTCAAATAGGCGTCCACAGCAGAGCAATTGTTTGAACACAAGTAGAACAGATTTCCAGGGGAAATTGAGTGTAAACACCAGTACGTTTGTGGCATTGTCCCAACCTCGTATACTTGGAGGAGAGAATTTAGGAGGGGGTTGGCTGGCTCAACAGCGAGGTCCCAAACTGGTATGTGAGCTTCTTCTTCACTTTCCGGATCTCGCCCGTCTTGCTGTAGTTCCTCAGGGCTCGGGCCATTTTCTGGTAGGTCATTTTCTTGCGGTTGCCTTTCTGTTGCCCCCATCGGTGCGCTAGAACTTCTTTGTGCTTGGAAGAGAACTGGAAGATGCCCGCCTCGCGCTGCACCCACCACACACATTCCTTCATGTCTCCGCGCTCCAAGAGCTCAAACAAGAACTGGTAGAGGCGCAACTTACGCCGAGAGCCTAAAGGAGGAGAAAAAATAGTGGCACCAAACTACATTAATTCGACATTATGGACGCACCTCCAGGTTTGCAAATACCACTAGACACCCTCCAGTTGTATACACAAAATCTTGGGAAATGACAAGGTTCTCTCTTGGGAATATATAGGTTCCCTAGGCTCATGTATTCTCAATGTATGGACCTAGGGACCCATATATCACGGACCCCTGACTTGTTCATTTGTGTGTGTGTGTGTTCTGTGTAGAAAGAACCAAGGAAGGGAAAATTTCCCATCTACATAAAGATGGGTTAGGAAAACAATGTCTAGCTATACAACAAATGCTTAATGCTTTAATGATATGTCATGTTTATGCCTGCTATATGTTTTGAGATGTGTCTGAATGGGTTTGGGCACTTGGTTTACTGGCTCTGTTCACATTTTTAATTTTTTGTAGTTGTGGTGCATTGTACCTTTTGGCAAATAGACTGATTGAATTGTGGCATTCTTTAACCCAGGTATGGGCAAACCCAGGCTCAGGGGTTGGATGCAGCCCCTTGGGGTCTCTTCACAGGTCCTCCTCTCGTCATCTTATCCTTCCTTTCTTCTCTCTTTCCTTCCTCCTTCCCTCACTCTTTCTCCCCTCCCTCCTTCCTTCCCTTCCACCCTTTTGTCCTTCCTTCTTTCCTTCCTTTCCTCTTCCCTCCCTCTTTCCCCCCTTCCTTCCCTTCCACCCTTTTGTTCTTCCTTCCTTCCCTCTCACCCTCTTCCTTCCTTCCATCCCTTTAGTCTCTCCTTTCTTCTCTCTTTCCTCCCTCCCCTCCCTCCCTCTCCCTCTCCCTCTTCATTCCCTTCCATCCTTCCTTCCTTCCCTCTTTCCTCCCTCCTTCACCTTCTCCCTCTTTTTCTTTCCTTTCTTCCTTCCCTTTACTTTCCTTCCTTGACTTTCCTCCCTCCTTCCCCTCCCCGTCTCCTTCCCTTCCCTTCCACCTTTTGTCCTTCCTTCTCTCTTCCCTCCCTCCTTCCCTCTCTCCCTCTTTCTCCTTCCTTCCTTCCCTTTTGCCCTTCTTTCCTTCTCTTTCCTCCCTCCCTCTTTCTCCCTCCTTCCATTCCCTTCCTTCCTTCTTTCCTTCCATCTCTTTTTCCTTCCTTCCTCATTTTCYTCCCTCTTTCTCCCTCCCACCCTTTCCTCCTTCCTTCCCTCTTCCTCTTTCTCATTACTTCCTTCCCTTTTGTCTTTCCTTCCTTCTCTTTCCTTGCTCCCTTCCCTCCCCTCTTTCTCCCTCCATCCTTTCCCTTACAYCCTTTCTTCCTTCTCTTTTTCTTTCCTCATGTGTCAAGATTTTTAAGGGTGCCCCACTGAGGAGGAGGGAGGGGGGAAACTGATTTTATGCTGCTCTAGAGACCAGGGCACCAATGAGTGATGGTTTCAAACAGCAGGGAAAGAGATTCAACTGAAAAGATTAGGAAGAACTTCCTGGAGAGTGGCATAGGTTGCTTCGAAGAGTGGTGGAGTCTCCTCCTCTGGAGACTTTTCCACTAAAGCTTATTGGGAGTGCTTTGATTGTGCCTTCTTGCATGGCAGGGGGTTGGACTGGATGGCCCTTGGAGGTCTCTTCCAGCTCTAGGATTATATTATAGCCAGTATGATTGCTATGAATGCCCCAATGAGCATTTTTCTGGGCCTTCCTTTTGGCCATGTAGCTAACAGAACGATGGACTAAATGGGTCTCCCGCTGATTCCAAATGCCTCGCAAGGTAGAATTCAACCTCAGCACCCACCTGGATCAAAACCCGGTGCAAGGTTTTCATCCAAATCACTGTCAGAAGACACCTCCAGATTCCTGCTCTCCCCGTGGAATTCTTCTTCTTCAGATGACGGGCTGGAAACATCCCGGGGAATCGGGTATTGGCAGTAAGGGACATAAGGCTGTAAAGATCAGAACATGGAGATGGGGTAAGTATGACAGATTAAAACCAAATGCATTCAAAGGATAATTCTAACAAGCTAGGAAGAAACTACACATTTACACAAGAGTAACACTCATGAATCCCTCATCATTTTCTTTGTTCAAACAGGTGGTTCTCCAGATATTGCTAGACTTCAATTCTGCTCTAGTTTCTTAAACACTGTTATTATGATCTATGGTCGCCCTGCAGTGGGTTAAACTGCTGAATTGGTGAACTTGCTGACCGAAAGATTGGCGGTTCGAATCCAGGAAGCGGAGTGAGCTCCCACTGTCAGTTCCAGCTTCTGCCAACCTAGCAGTTCAAAAACTTGCAAATATGAGTAGATCAATAGGCGGGAAGGTAACGGCACTCCATGCAGTCATGCTGGCCACATGACCTTGGAGGTGTCTATGAATAATGCCGGCTCTTCGGCCTAGAAATAGAAATGAGCACCACATCCCAGAGTCAAACATGACTAGACTTAATGTCACGGGAAACCTTTACCTTTACTATCTCTCTATATATAATATGTAATGTTCGTTTGTGGGATTAACATAACTCAAAAACCACCGGACGAAGTGACACCAAATTTGGACATAATACACCTATCAGGCCAACGAGTGACCATCACTTATAAAAACACTAAAAAACACAGCAGAATGAACTTAAAAAGCCAAAAAAAATTCATTACAATGCATGCACATAACCACACGCAAACACACATATATACACAAAAACACAAATATATACACACACAAAGCACATATACACAGACTGGGCCATAGCAATGCATGGCAGGGAATGCCTAGTGTGTGTATGTGTGTGTGCGCGCATATATATATATTGTTTGTTGTGATTAGTTATATTATTTCTTGTATTTTATTTATTTTTTTCTTTATATTTTACTGTTGTATTCCTATGTGTAAAATTGTATTGCTGTATTGTTGGGCTTGGCCTCATGTAAGCCCCCTGAGTCCCCTTGGGGAGATGATGGTGGGATATAAATAAATAAATATATTATTATTATTATTATTATTATTATTATTATTATTATTATGGACAAAGATAAAGACTGGAATACAGCATATGTTCTGTCTCTCAAAAACTAGATGATAGGGGGATATTGGTGCCATTTTTGTAATTGACAGGTCTAATATACCCAGAAACATATCTAACATTAGAGACACCAAAATATGTGTTGTCCAGTGTTATCATTGGTCAGGCTGGCTAGAGCTGATGGGAGCTGTTCTGTGTTAAGCTAAGCAGCACTCTTACCTTTACAACAGAAGTATTACTATTATTATTGTTATTATTATTAATTTAGAGGATTTATACCATGACCTTTGCCCAAAAATGTCTCCCAGAGCACTTACAAATCAATAATTTAACATCGCCTGCCCTTAGGCTTACAATATAAATAAGACATGATATTAAAGGGGAAAGAGATCAGTAAGATGAAGCCTAGCAAAGACTGCCCTCTAAGGCCACATCAATGGCAATTAGCATAGAGGAGGATTTTTCATCAGCCTCTGGGGCCAACTGCAATGGAGCTGTGTCTGCCTTTTAAGAGGATAGGAACAATGAAAACAAAGGTAATTTTCTTTGAATTACCATCTCTGCGTGCTCCAAATAGTGCTACAGATTGAGACTGGATAGAAGTCTGAACAAAAGACCTATGAAAGGTTGGCAAGATAATGCAACATTTGGTTTAGACTTCCTGCTTCCACTTTTCCTCAGTATGTAGAAGACTCATAACACTATGTAACAAAATTTGAAAAATGTTCTGTTTCTCGTTTCAAAGTGTTATTTCCTATTTAATTGTGCAGTACTTAATTTGATTTTTTTAAATCCAGGGAGCGAGGTGAGCTCCTGCTGTTAGCCCCAGCTTCTGCCAACCTATCAGTTCGAAAACATGCTAATGTGAGTAATCATTAGGTACCGCTTCTGCGGGAAGATAATGGCGCTCCATGCAGTCATGCCGGCCTCATGACCTTGGATGTGTCTATGGACAATGCCAGCTCTTCAGCTTAGAAATGGAGATGAGCACCAACCCCCAGAGTTGGACACAACTGGACTTAATGTCAGGGGAAACCTTTACCTTTATTTACTTAATTTAAAAGTAGTTGCTATATGGCAGAAACTTTTCTGTGGCTGCCACAAACTATATTGAATTGGTTGAGACTCAGTAAGATGTTCACTGAAAAGCTGTATAACAAAATATCCTGCAGGATGTCTCACAAAAACAAACTTTTTTGCAGTTTAATGAACCTTTTCCATTTTTTTAATGATAGAACCAATCAGGAAACAACATTTATAACCCAGGAACAAAATTTGTGTTATATGGTGTCAACTCCCAATATTGTTTCCTCCTCCCCACCCCCTCCTTTTTCCATTCCTTCCTGAGATTAGATATTGGGAAGAGTTTCACTCCACTTCAGAAAGCCATCTACATCTCTTGAGAGGTCTTTCAGAGTACTAAGACACAGTAAATGCTAGACTACCCTCCTTACTACAAGAGGAGGAACTTCACAATGAGGTTGACTTGCCTTCCTGCCTGTCTATGGCAGAAGAGTGTCTACTTATTTGAACCAAATGAATAATAGTAATAGTAATAATAATAATAATAATAATAACAACAACAACAACAACAACAACAACAACAACAACAACAACAACAACATTTTATTTGTACCCCACTACCATCTCACCAGGAGGACTCAGGCTGGCTCACAAGAGCACATTCAAAGTGCCAATGCCTTAAATCAAGAAATAGCTTTCTAAGATCTACAGAGATGCTTGCAGGAACACTTCAGCAAGCAAGAGTCCAAAAGTGGCACGCCAAAAACCCAGAATCCCAAGCCATGTCTGATACAGGATGAGAGACTCCTTCCTGGGCACACAGAAGACTGGGTGACTTGGAAGGCGCTGAACAGACTGCGCTCTGGCACCACGAGATGCATGCCAACCTTAAGAAATGGGACCACAAAGTGGAGAACACAACATGCGATTGTGGAGAAGAGCAAACCAGAGATGACCTATTACAATGCAGCCCCAGCACATACACAATGGAGGACCTCCTATAGCAACACCAGAGGCACTCCAAGTGGCCAGGACATTTAGTATAATGCCAAGTTTTTAAACTTTGTGTTTTTAAATACATTACAACTGTACCCTCGGTTCACTTCTGATACAATAAATAAATAAATTCAAAATGCCAGAAATAAAACAAACAATAGGCACTAGGCATCTTTTTTCTCTTCATCTATCTCACTTTTTACTGCGATCTCCTGGACCGCACGGCCTTCCAGAAGTCCTATCTATCTTCTTAAACACAGCCCCTGCAAGTCCACTGTACCAGTATTACCTGATTGTTGTACTCCTCCTTGTATCCCAGGCCCATATTAGGCATAGGTATCATTCCATCCTGGTTATAGACTGCATCCAGAGGGATCTGGGGATAGGAAAGGGGGACGTTCTGCAGCTGGGCAAAGTGTCCCGCTTCGAAGGGATCGTATCCGGCCTCCTGCATCCCCAGCCAGTTTACGCAAGACTCTGAAAAGGAAAGAATTCCATGACTCAAGAGGATCCAACCTGAGCCTCAAAATCACAATCTCATTCCAGTATCATTACAGAATTGACAGAAGACGTGACCTCTGATGTCACTGAATTTCCTTCCAGATGTTTAAGTAAAGCTAAAGGTTTTCCCCCGACATTAAGTCTAGTTGTGTCCAACTCTGAGGGTTGGTGTTCATCTTTATTTCTAAGCCGAAGAGCCGGCATTGTCCGTAGACACCTCCAAAGTCATGTGGCTGGCATGACTGCATGGAGCACCATTACCTTCCTGCAGAAGCAGTACCTATTGAACTACTCACATTTGCATGCTATCGAACTGCTAGGTTGGCAGAAGCTGGGGCTAACAGCAGGAGCTCACCCCTCTCCCCGCATTTGAACCACCGACCTTTCGTTCAGCAAGTTCAGCAGCTTAATGGTTCAACCCGCTGCACCACCAGGGAGACTTTCTAGATGTTTAAAGGACCTGAAATGGGCAGGCCACAGCACCATAAATACATCATTTGCAGTGATAGCCACTGCTTGTCTAAGGCCACACATCTTCCCTTTCAACTTAGCAAACTAGGTTTACTCTGGGAGACACAATTCCAAGTTTGGAGAAGACTTTTGTGGACCATGGGGGGTTCTGGGAGTTCTAGTCCAAATAAGTTCTTTCATTAGCTCCGACTAAAACCATTTCCAAAGAAATAGTTGTGGCGCAGTGGGTTAAACTGCTGAGCTGAGATTGCTGACCGAAAGGTTGCAGGTTCGAATCTGAGAAAGGGCGAGAGCTTCCCCAGATATATAATAGAAGAAAACAAAACAAATGGAGCCCCCAGTGGCACAGTGGGTTAAACCGCTGAGCTGCTGAGCTTGCTGACTGAAAGTTTGGCGGTTCGAATCCAGGGAGCAGGGTGAGCTCCCACTGTTAGCCCCAGCTTCTGCCAACCTAGCAGTTAGACAACATGCAAATATGAGCAGATCAATAGGTACCGCTCCGATGGGAAGGGAACAGCGCTGCATGCAGTCATGCCGACCACATGACGTTGGAGGTGTCTACGGACAACGCCGGCTCTTCGGCTTAGAAATGGAGATGAGCACCAACCTCCAAAATCGGACATAACTGGACTTAATTTCAGGGGGAAACTTTTACCTTAACTTGTATTAAACTGCTGTAGGAAAAATAATTGTGTCTTGTTACACCTTAAAGACAATATTTTTCCAAGGACATGCACAAGTTGGACACTTGCATAAACTTATCAGAGCAGAAGGGTGACCAATTATGGAG